TATATATATATATATATATATATATATATATATATTATTTAACGAGATAACTATGAATGAATGAAATATCCTTGGCAATAAATATATTCGAGTTATTTGCGAACGTTAATCGTACGTTTCAAATGTTTATTGAGTAAAAAGATATAAAATAATTACAAACAGATATTTTAATCATGAATTTTACATTCTACTTGTGTTTATTTTTTCTCGAAGAAAAAAATATTTAAAAAAAAAAAAAACGTCCTTAAATTTATTTTAATTTTCTCTGACGCTTTTATTAATTATCATAAAAATGACTCATTATTTCAAGGAAATACGCGCGAGCGCATACTTTTATATTTGCTACCAAAGCAAAGATTATGAAACTTAAATAGAACTTCAAGGATATAAATGCCTGATCATTATTTAGAAAAAAAAAATAAATAAGTGGGTGACTAAAAAAAATATTATACAATATATAATCAATTTTTCTTTTTTTGTTCTTTTTTTGTTCTTTTTTTTTTTTTACAAAACAAAGAAAAAAAATTAATGATTTACAAGTTTATTATGTTTTTTTACGTTATTTATTTCCTGTTTAACACCTTTTATATTTAAATTAAAAACATGTTGACAAGGTTTAGAAAAAACTCAATTATAATTCTTTCGACATTCTTATTTTATGAATTATAATTAAATTTATTAAATATATTAATCTAAATATATATAATTATATTTATAATATATATATAAAAAAATGTAATTATCTATTAATTAAATTTAATAATATATAATATAAATATATAAAATTTAGTTTTGCGATTAATATAATAAAACTACAAAAATTCAAATCTTAAATGATAATGTTTTAAAGATGAATTAATTGATGATTTTAAATATCAAAGAAAAATTAATTAATTAAATAACAAGAAAATTAATTTATATATATATATATATTTGTTTATGTAAATATTGTATAATTTTTAATTGATAAATAAAGTTTTTTATTTGTTTTCTTTTTTTTATTTTTTATTTTCTAATCTCAGATTTTCATAATTGTTTTTAATAAAAATACGTATAAAAATGTATTTATCATCATCATTCGATGTAGATCGTTTCTTTTAGATAGAAAGAAAAAGAATAAGACAGACAGATAAATACTTAGACATAGTATTGATCAATTTTATGAAGAAATAATTATTTCTTATCTCAAAAATTTGTATAAACACGAATAAAATTTTTTTTTTGAATTTTGTAATCGAATTATTATTAGAAACACTTTGAAATACTATAAACATGATAATAATCTTGAAAATTATGAATAAATCATACGATCATTATGAAAGTTGTTTAATCATATATATATATATATTTTATTATAATATAATGTATTAAATTATAATTACAATTATTATTATTATTTATTAATTATAAATATAATTAATTTTAATATAATAATAATGAATTTATTTTAAACTATTATAAAAAATATAAGATTACATTTATTATACATATAATTTATTAATTAAAATTATTATATTTTTAATTATTAATTATTATTAATAATTTTTATAATTTATATAATTATAATTTATTATTATTATTATTATTATTGAAATGTTATAATTATAAAAATGTCATATTTTTATGGATAAGAATCATTTGTAAGATTGATTATAATAATCAATATCATTTCAAGGAAATAACTGAACGTATAAAAGTTGATTTTTTTCTTTATAATATATTCAAAAATATTTCAAAAGTTACCATACAAATATTTAATCTTTACATTAAATTAATTTAAATCTATACTTTAAATTTTAAATTAATTTATTCTATCAATTAATTTAAATTGACATAAAATAACGTAATTCTGTGTAGACATATTAAATGAGGTTTTTTTTTTTATTAGATTTAAAAATTATTTATTTCTCTTTATAATAATAATAATAATAATAATAATAATAATAAAGATAATAATCAATCATACAACTAATTATAATAATCGTTTTTATACATTCATATTAACTTCAACTTTCTATTTTGTCAATCATTGTCAATCAACTATGTTTGATGAAATTCAATGTTGAAAGCTAATGCCACGTGTACGTGGGTGGATTGAAAACTTTTGTGCGTATTATAAGAACAAATGTTTTGTTCGTTTCAATCAAATTTACTTTTATTCTAAAAACAAAAAAACTTAAACATGCTGCACGTGTACAACAAAATTAAATTGTAAGATTTCATGAAATTATGTGGAAAAATAAAAGTGCGTTTGATTGAGTAATAAAACGTTGATTTTACGTAAATTTCTCGTTAATTGTTATATTACCTAGTTAAAACATATAATTCTATATTCTTCCATACTTTAAATAGGTCAATATATTTAATCATGGTTTAGCTGATTATTTTATGAATCAACGAATTTCACATTTCAACGATAACCATATATATAAGCTCACAATTTAGTTGTAATAATTATTAAAAAAAAAAAACCTAAATAAATAAATAAATAAATAAATAAAATGTTGATTTTTGTATTGTAATGTTTCAGTTTCATCGTACAAGACCGAGTGTCGGGCTTTTGGACATGGATGTTCGTGTTGTCGAAGTTACCCGAGCTCGGTGATACCGTGTTCATTGTTCTACGTAAACAACCATTAATATTTTTACATTGGTATCACCATATTACCGTGTTGCTATATTCATGGTTCTCTTATACGGAATACGCATCTTCAGCAAGGTGGTTTATCGTAATGAATTATTGCGTTCATTCGTTGATGTACAGCTATTATGCTTTGAAAGCAATGCGTTATTCGCCACCTAAATGGATCTCGATGCTGGTCACGGGATTACAATTGTCCCAAATGGTGATGGGCTGTGCTATCAACGTCTGGGCTTATCAGTACCTGAAACAAGGACAGTCAGAGTGTCATATATCACGACTAAATATCAGACTTAGCCTGGCTATGTACTTCAGTTATTTTGTCCTATTCGCACACTTCTTCCATAAGGCCTATTTCAGCAGAGATTCAAGTAAATCAAGCAAGAACAAATTGTATACTAATGGAACTATTACCACGACTGATGATCACACGATCGTATCTACGAAATACGCGAATGGTAAACTGAAGGAAAATTAAGAAGAGGAAGAAGACAATTATTATTATTATTATTATACAACCAAATTTTTGGTGGGAAGAAGAAAAAAGAAACTAGAAGAAGAAGTCAAGAAGAGTAATCAAACAAAATAAAAGAAGAAAGAGAGAGAGAGAGAGAGAGAGAGAGAGAGAGAGAAAATAAACACACACACAGTAACGCATAAAATTTATGGTGCTCGCTAAATGAGGAAGCAAATGGTATTTGTGTTATAGGGAGGGGGAAAGCTTTCTACATTTCACGCGAACCCGGACATAATTTTTTTTTTTTTTTTTTACAGTCATAAAATTTACCTTTCCTTTTTTCTTTTTCTTATTTTTGGTTATATTTTTTTTTGTTTTTCGATTATTATAAATGTTGTTTTATTTTTCTTCTTTTTCTTTTCTCTTCAACGCGCTAATTTGTAATTCATGTATAATGTATCATAGTTGTTTTTTTATCATCTTTTAGAAGATGATAAAAAAAGAAAAATGGGGTGTTGAAGACAAACCTGGATAGAATAATTTTTATTTACTCTCTTCCTTCTTCTCCTCCTTTAGAATAAATAATAATAATAATATTAATAATAATAATTAATGTAACAATAATAATTATTATTATAGTGATTATAAATATTAATAATTAATGGATACGATAATAATTTAATAATGGGGGTCTTTCACTGGTGTCAGAATATTTTGTTTTCACGGCTTCGCACAAATTATTCTCTGAAAATTGTTTCGTTGATTTTCATATCCGCTGTCTGTCACGCTTTAATCATCGATTAGGATGATTAATCTTCTTAGGGGGATTTTTGTTTGTTTTTCCTTTTTTTTTTTCATATCGTAAATTCTTCTCCGTCTCTCTTTTTTTTTTTTTTTTTTAATCTGAACGAATTATAAAATATTTTCAAATTCTAAATGACGAACGATATGTGCGAAAAAGAGAAAGAAAAGGGAGGAGGAGAAGTTGGACAAGTTAAAAACTTATATAAATATAACAAATAAAATATTATTCGCTTCCTGACAATATGGCGGACTCCTTGGGCCGATCAATTATTTATTATTATTATTATTATTACTATACAAATAATTCTTTGTATTTATTTTATTCTTGTTTAATATTTTTTTTTCTTTTCTTTCTTTCTTTCTTTCTTTTCTTTTATTTTTTTTTTTTTTTTTACGAGCTAAAAACTCTCTTCGTCGGCCTAGAAAATATTTTTCCTACTACACTAAACATTCGGTCGACGTGAGAAAGAATAATATTAATGTTTACTTAAAAATTTAAAAGAAGAAAAGAAAAAAAAATTAGAAAATGAAAAGGAGAGGAAAAAGAAAACCAAAATGAGAAAAATAATTACGCAAAAAAAAAAAAAAGAAAAAAAAACACTTCATAAAAAAAGAGGATAAAAAAAAAACAGCAAAATATTGGATTGTCCGGGGGAAAGTTCGTGCCGATTTTCAATAGATGGTGCAAAGTTTTCTTTTTTTTTTTTAATTCTTGCTGAAAAATCTGAAAAGTTTTTCTTTTTCGTTAAAAAACCTAAAAAAGAGTTTTTTTACTCTGAAATTTTTAATTTAGTTCAGAAGTTTGTGAAGTTAACCATAAAGATGGAAGAAAGATTGTGGAAACAAAATGGCACTTATATATAATTTAATAAATATTATATATATGTATATATAATACCAAAACAAAAAAAAAAAAGAAAAAACTTAAATGCGTTGCGTTTCAATCTTCCGTCAAAATCGGCACGTAATTTCCGAACAATTCAATAACAAAAATACAATAAGGAGCAAAGGTGTGAAAATCATATTCGTAATCGGGGAAAAGGATTTTACATGGAGGTGATGGTCATTAGGACATTTTAATGTTTTGTTTCAAAATAATAAACGTAAAAATAATAAAGAAGAAGAAAAAAGAAGAAGATAATTTTTGAATCGATTGGAATCGATTTGAAATTGTATGACATAATTTACATGCTTATAAATCAATAAGTTAATTCGATTCATTCGTTATTATGTTGTTTGATATGTGTAGAAAAGATAGACACGATACAAAAGGAAAAAAAAGCGAATAAAAAGAGAGAGAAAGTGAAAGAGAGAGAGAGAGAGAGATAATGTAGAGCTTAAGGTGCCTGTTATGCTAAAAGAGAATTATAATTGGTATTTATAATGGTATCTATAATAAATTAAAAATTTATGATCTACTTGTGTAACGTCATGTAAATTATTTTTGTTTTTTTTCTGATGGAAATTCAAGAAGACTTGAAAAGATAGGAAAAAGAAAAAAAAAAGACAAATAATCTACGAATGAAAAATAATCTCTGACATAACAAGTTCTTGTATTGACAATGTCAAATAAAAAGAAAGATGATAAGATGAAGAATGAAACAGAAAAAAAAAAGGAAGAATTATCATAAAATTATTTAAACATTATAATAACCAACACTTATATCATTTTCTGTCATCGTATAATTCTCGTTAGAAAAGGAATCTAATTATGAGTAATAATGACAAAAAATAACTATAAAAAGAAATATACATATTTATTACGTTAATCTATATATTTATTTGATTGGAATGGATATAACAAACTTGAGAAGTATGATATAATGATGATTATAGTAATTTAAGTTTAAAGAAAAATTGTTCTTTCTTGCATACACACACACACACACACACACACACACACACACACACACACACACACGCGCGCGTACACTTACGCTTATATTATATTGCGTATTTTTTATGTATCAGTCATATTAAAAATTGAATTTACATTTTTTTTTGTTAAATCTTGCAGATTAATCGAACGAATAATTAAGACATGTAAAATAAAATAGATAAATAGAGTTTATTTTTTAATTGATTTGTATCAATTAATTACTTAAAAAAAAATATATATATATATATTATACACGCGTTACTAGCTCTACGAAATAAAAAGTTGATGTTTACTTTAACAGGTAATATATTTAATTTTGTAAAAAATAATTAATGAAAAAAATTAATACAACGTTTAAATAGAATGTTATCTGTCAACACGAAAAATAATTCAATATTTATTTGGATAATTTGACTATATCAATGATGATATGCGCTCGTTTTTTTTTTATTAATGCCGCCATGATGCTGTTCATGATTTAGATATTTGTCAGAGTCATTCTAACACATACTAAGATAAGATTTTGATTCAGGTTGTACAACGGAAACTATGTATTTATGTAATAATGGGTATGTGTGTGTAATATGTGTGATCATATATGTTTTTCTTTCTCTTCCTTTGTACATCTAAGAAAGAAAAAGATAAAGAGAGAAAAAGAGAGAATATTGTATTAACGAGTGTTATATTGGCGCAGTTGCGATCATTCAACGATCTATGCATTTAACTTTTCAACGTGTGTATATGTGCGCACAAGCGCGCGCGCGCACGCGCTAGTGTGTGCTTGCAATTACAATAAATATGCTCCTAATATTTTTTTTTTTTTATTTACATATATAAATATATTTTCATGAAACATATGAAGAAATATTCAGTTGTCTTATAAGTTTTTTCCAATGAAAGATGTAATTAATATCCGCCATATTGGTTCTGCAATTAATATCGGCCATATTGTTTCCACCATTAATTTTGATCATATTGTCTACGTCATATTAATTTTGGCCATATTACATTACTTTTACAAGAATTGATTTGATTATTTGTCAATAAAAAAAATATGAAGAAAAACACACGACGCCTTTTGAAATTTATAATCATATTTAATAATACGTAAATATAATGTATAATAACTATGATATATTGTTTGATTAACAATTTACTTTGAAAGAAAAAAAAAAAAAAAACAAAAACAAATGTGTATTTTTAATTTAAACTTATTGGACAATTCGATTTATATATGTATAGATTTGTTTGTCACTTGAATTTTTAATTTATTACAATTTCGATGTGTAATTTGTACTGAGCGAGCATTTTTAAATTCTTCCTGAGAATATAAAAAAAAAAAATTGTAAGAGAGAGAGAGAGAGAGAGAGAAAGAGAGATAAAAGATACATGCATGCATGCTTATGAATAAGAAAAAAAAAAAAATTAACAAAAAAAAAGTTAGCTGTGATGCATTTGTGAGGAAAAAAAGAAATAGGATTTGGTCCCTTTTTCTTTTTTTTTTTTTATATATATATAAATTATAAACATTCGAATAAGTTAAGTATGTAAAGAAAATAAAAAGAAACAAAACAAAAAAAAATTGAATCGGATCACCGGTTCACGCCATTTCTATTGTATGATATATGCCAGTTGTTATTGATTCTTGTCATTGTCAAAGAGTTTTGGGATTATATACAAATATTCTGTAATAATAATTATAATAATAATAATTATAATAGTAATAATGATAAATAATGATGATGATAATAATAATAATTATAATAGTAATATTATTAATAATTTCTATTTAGAAATGAGAAAAGAAAAAAAAAAGAGAAAATAGAAAAAGGAAAGAGAAAAAAAAAATTTAAAAAGAAAAAAAGAAAAAACGTATGACGTATTTTGACACTTCACACAATCAGTCACAAGTTTTGTAAATCGACGTGTCGTCGTTGTAAATTCGTTTCGATGATTTTTTTTGTTTTTCCTCGCGTTAAATGTTTCGATACACACAACAGATGTACGTATAATTCCTAGAAAGACTTCCCCCCCCCCTTCATGAGAATTCTTTCAACGATTTTGACGATGTCATTACGATTACAAACAATAAATACAAAAGTACGTCCAAAATACCGTTTGAAAAGGAAGCAGTGGTTCTCAGCGAGGTCGCATTTTTGCATTCGAAGGTCCCCCTAGGTGCCTTATACCAAATTTTATTTTCATTTATTTGACTTCGTACGATTTTTTGTTTTGTTTTGGACTATTATGAAATTAATTAAAAATATCATATTCGTAAATTGTATTTAAAAAAAAGAAAAAAAAAGGACAATTTTTAAATTGCTTCCAATGAAGAATAAAAGAATACATTAATAATTAAAAATATGTTCTTGCTTATAAATGTCAACTAATAATGTTGTTCGTAAATTT